TAAAGTCAGATATCACAATTATCATCCCCAGAAAAATTAATAATAGAATAGACAAATGAATAAGTTGATTCAAGCTTTTCTAACAGACACAAGTTGAGATTCATGGCATATAGATTAGCTTGAATCCTAAATCCTGGAATGAAGGTTTCATGGCATTAGGTAAGAAAATGCCGTGGCAAACCAAAATCAAAGAATCATATTATTTCAAGGGATTTTCAACCACAATGATGTCAGAAGAAATGCATATGATGCACTTCCTCCAGTGAGTTATATCACAGGATGAACCATTCCCCACTGCTCTTTCCTCTTTCTATCAAAGAGGTTACCCTTGTTGATCAAATGAAGAAAATGAACATCCTCAATCCTAAGACTAGCAAGTAAAGCAATCATAAGCAGATTGATTAATCAAATGCTTAAACATTACAGAAACTTACCTTTCTCCATTGATGCCCCAGGAACGTTGACACGGAAATGGTATGAATCCTCCATTTCACTAATGTCCCTTAACCCTCTAACTGGTCCAATCGAGCCCGTTGCAGCAGCCCCAGTGAGTGCAACTCCATATTTGGTATGAGCCATCATATTATCCAACTCCTCCCTGGTTGATCGGGAAGGAAGAAATATCATAGCTGGACCGATTGTTTCTGAAGCCTCAGTCTGCTCTCTCGTTGGTGAGGAAAATGTATCACCTGGGCTTGGTGGACCAATGTTATGCACACAACTGAGAGGAGGTACATCAAGAACTGATTGCTGGGGATTCATGCGATTAGGCTCATTATTATCACCTTCTGTCCTGTCAGAGCTGCCAGAAGATTTGTAGACTGTCACATTGGCTCATGAACACTAGCTGAAGCCCTAAGAAACTAAAACTACCTCAGCAATACATTGCCTCCCACTGGTATCTTATGTTATTGAGTTTTTTCAAGACATCAGTAATAAAACTTGGCTTGTTTAATAATCCATTGGAAGAACAAGTAGGAAATCTTATGAAAACAAAACATGGAGAAACACATACCAAATAAACTGTAGTTTAAATACATAGATATCAATTATTTAATTCATCTTTTCTCCTCAGTCATAAAAATCAAACATTAAGAAAGAATAGATTGTAGCTAATTGCAGAGTTAAGCACCACGAGAACAATTTAGTTTTTGCAGAACTATGACACAAAATTCCAAAACTACAAACATAAACAAATAGAGAACTACTGAAACTAGACATTGGCATGCATCAAATCACCAACAACATAATTGAAACCAAAAACTATCACATCTCAAGTAGTTTTGCTCAAACCTTAGAACCCCATCATTGAGATTAAGGGTTCTCAATCTTTCTGATAAATCATCCGCATCTTCTCCGCTACGCACAATCTGAGAATTCATTGCTAAGAAAGTATGATTTTCCTAATGTATATTACACAATTGTAAAAGATGTAGGTTATGGCTGAAATTTACAACCGCGCCTTATATAATGTTCATCAGAGTAATCCAAGTCAACACTCCAGCTGCCTCATTTATTATTTCCCTCTAAAATTATTAATACATCCTACGCAGCCTTCCATATTTTTTTCCTTTTACTGCAAATTTTTATGTTTCCAATAGATTCCTTACTTAATAGCATAAAGAAACTTCCAAGCAATAAAGCTGAATTGTTGCTCTCATTAAAGTAGGAAGATACGCGCATTACACGCGTGTTATACATGCATGAAACACAGTGACTGATGAGAGTCCAGTTTGTAAGTTTTAGATAAAGACACATGTATTAATCAGTGCATATTACACATGTCCACATTCAGACAAGTCCAGTCATCTCTGGATTTCGTATGTGGAGAACACGCGCATAGCATGTGCATACTTCTGATTTTCAAGAAATCAACTTGTCAGCTTTCTTTTCGAAAGCTGACATATGCTACCATTAGATAAGTTACTTTTGGAAAACTTCTGATTTTCAAGGAGCTCTTCAAACCACACAATCAATGCTTCACACCCTCATTCTAAGAAACTCTGACTATGATGCATTGGAAGTTTAATTTTGGAGAAATGATAAAGGACAGATAGTAATCCAGAAAGAAAAAATAGTAAATGCGGGCAGTTATGAATATTTCTTTAGACAACATGGTGAAGAGTGAATGAAATTTGGTTGCATTGGACCTAGATATATCAATTCATTAG